TTTTTTTGTTGTTGTTGTTGTTTATTTTCTATCATGGTATTATTGTCCTAACAACTGAAATAGACATGCTCTTTCCTAATTTAAAAATTAAATGCATACAAGGCATTATTGTTAGTGTATTTTGTCTCTATGTCCTCATCGTTGTAACTGTGTCTTAGGCATCTTCCACTGCAGCTGATGTAGAAAGGACACTTGAACTACCTGCAACTCCTCGACTGATACTCCTTGGTATGTATAGAACTGTATGAAAGTATAGTCTATTTTATTACATAAGCCACTAAGGGTGTTTTTTTCTGTATTTCAGCAAACATGGTAAATGCTTTTGTACAACACTGAAAGGGACAGTTCACACAAAATAAATATTCTGCCATCTTTTACCCACACTCATGTCATTCCAAGCCCTTAAGACTTTTATTCATCTTTGGAAAACAAATGAATATATTAATAAAATTCTTTCATCATTTTTGTTCATCAATTGAAAGTCAAAAAAAGAAAAACCTTTGATGCTTCAAAAAGTTCATAAAGTTATTGTAAATGTATGAATTTCATTTCGTTCATTCATGTATAAACATTCATCATTGAGCATACATAGAGCAAATAAGCTCAAACATGCTTGCTTGACGTGAGAACCAATGAGGTTTGTTCTCGTCTGTCAGGCTAGCGCGTTTGAGTTTCCATTTACCCTGGATTTGACTGGACTTTTAATGGATGAACAGAAATGATGAAAGAATATTAAAAATAGCTTCATTTGTGTTTTGAAAATGAAAACTCTTTGAAAGTGAGGGTGATTAATTAATTACTAAATTTTCATTTTTTTAACCCTTCAACTATATTGAGCAAAAATATTGAGTTAAATAAATCATAAAAATTGCAGCAACAATTTCACAATACACAGTATATACACGTGTTGACTTCAGTGTCTGTCCTGACCAGTCCACAATCAGCATTTTGAAATGCATTTGTTATGTTAAAAGAACAGGGCTCTGTGACTAGGTAAAATGATTTCAGTTTCCCTTGCATTTATTTGCAATCTGGCAGTAGAAAATTAATATGTTATGTGACTGCCTGACATTGTTTTTTCTTTGGAATGTTTTAGGTGAAAAACCAGGAAGCTGCATTCATAAATGGATGATTAGTTTTGAGGGGCAAATAATCGGTGAGGGCATCCAGCCAAGTTTTCTGTCTGGACTTGCTGCTGTGTTTTCGACTTTCTACAATTTCAATGTGGAGTACCAAGCTGAGGCTGCATCCACGTTGGAATTCATTCAGAGGTTAGATGCTTAGATTCATATATTAATTTCTATTCACATTCTCGTTATGTAAACTTTTACCCACACTAATTCTGAATGTACGCATTTGTTTTTCAGGCGCTTCATTGGTATAAATCCTGAAAAAGGCACCAAGGGTGGACAAGTCCTATCAAAGCGGACAGGGAAGGTCGCCCACAAAAAGAAATCAGTCAACACTCGGGTTGCCAGTCTACTTAAGAAACTAATGGACTTTGAGTGGGACTTCATATAAGTGAACCCACTCATTCACTGACATACCACACACACACCTTACACATACTCTTCACACACGACAAAAACATGCTTTTAGTGTGTTAGTCGCACAATTTTTTCAGGTGTTCATTTTTGAATACCAACATTTTCACTTCATTCTTCATTGAATTCTTTCTTCATTCAGTAATTCTTATTCACTAATAATTCAGTAATTCTTATTCACTCAGTAGTTCTCTGAGTCACTCATTTAGTTTTTTCTAATGTTATATAAATGTTTTGTTTATTCAGTTAAACAAAAGTTTATTCTGAAGCTTAAGTTTTAGTCATTTCACTTGCATCAGCCACTAATTTTGAGAATATTTTGTGATTAAAGTGGCTTTTGTTTTTCAAAGTTTTAATAAAGCACGTTTTGAAGTTACACTGCATTGTGTTACATTTTTTATGTTTCAAAGGCTATATTTGTACATTGTATTAAAACATGATTTTATAGCAAAACTTCTAAGGGGTAATTCATAAAATCAAAGAAATATCTAGAAAAATAATTCCACCTTTTTTTCTTAGCAGTCCATTTCTCAATATAATAACATTTGTAGTTTACAGTTAAAAAAGGGCAAATAAACATTAATTAACTGTTAATGCTTTTGACAGTAATTTACTGTTAATGTAGAAAATAACAGCTTTATGCTGTATTTCCAAAAACAGTAACAAACTGTAAATTTCAACAACAGCAAGGCACTGTTAATTTAACAGTAACTTGCTGGCAAACGTGCTGCCAGTTACTTACTGTTTTTTAACGGGACAATTTTTAACAGTGTAGTCAGAATTCTGGCAGCAGCGTTCTGGATGAGCTGCAGCTGTCTAATGGTCTTCTTGGGAAGGCCGGTGAGGAGACCATTACAATAGTCCACCCTGCTGGTGATAAAGGCATGAACAAGTTTCTCCAAGTCTTGACTGGAAACAAAACATCTAATTCTTGCAATGTTTTTGAGATGATAGTATGCTGATTTAGTTACTGCTTTGACATGACTACTGAAACTAAGGTCTGTCTCCAGAATCACACCAAGATTCCTGACTTTATTTTTAGTTGTTAGACCCCTAGAGTCAAGGTATGCATTCACCTTGTTTCATTGCATTCACCGAAAAAATGTTTACCTGAGACCATGGGCGTAGCTTGTGCCCATAGCGATTTAAGAATTTTACTAAATATTTATTTATAAAGTTTTTTCTATGAAGTAAAAATTTACTTTGGGCTTTAATCTTGACCTTGGTAAAACAGTTATCTTTATTTAAAATGTTTCAAGTCTTAATTTTTTCCCTTTCTTATACTGGGATAAATCGTACTGGGATGTTTGCTAAAATTGTTGAATGTGGCACTGCCCTACGAAAATTTTCCACCAGCCACAACTGCACGATATCCAGAGTGCGTTTACATCAAACAACAGCTGATAACTATCTAAAATCTGCTCATAACAAAAACCATTACAGCACAAGTAGATTTACTATAGCAAAACTAAAATGTGTTTAAAAGTACGTCTGACCAAATCCACCGGTTCAGTTTGGCCCCCCAAACTCAAACATCAAGCTACGCCTATGCCTGAGACTTTAAAATCAAGTGGGTGTTTATCTAGTTTTGACAACAAAACGTAAACAGACATGCACACTGAACAATGATAAAGGTGTTGGCTTAACGGTGAATGTCCACTACAGCGGCAAAACTTTAAACGATCTAAGCGCAAGGTCTAAAGCGCACGGTGCAGGTGCACTTAGGGCGTGTCCAAATCCACTTTTGCTAGTTTAACGACGGGAAAAATGGTCGGCGCGCCCGGCGCATGGTCTAAAAGGGTTGTCCCTATTCTCTTAATAAGTAATGGGTGTGCTTTGGGCATAACGTCTAATAAACCAATAAGAGTCTCATCTCCCATTCCCTTTAAGAGCCAGTTGCGCTCGTGCCATGGCGGATTTGCTACACGGCGGAATTTGCAAGCGCAAGATAGAACGCGTCTCCAGAGATGAAACGGAGCTGCTCGTGCACGAGCAAATAGGTAGCCTAATTCTGATACATGCAATGACTATCCATTATGACATGTAGGCATTTTTATATTTATGTAGCCTACACAATAATAATCTTTTACATTGTAAGTAATCCTTTAATTTTTTATATTTGGCATGTTTTTGTGCTGCTGTGCGTCCCTGTGTGTGTAATAAGTCAATAGTGTAAATAAGTAAATAAGTAAAAACAGTGTATGCGCGCTGTGGCCCCGCCTATACTAGTAATAAGTCAATAGTGTAAATAAGTAAATAAGTAAAAACAGTGAACCCGCGCTGGGGCCCCGCCTATACTAACGCGCTCTTTAAATAACAAAAAAAAAACTACTGCGCCATTGATTTTAGACCAGGTTTTTATTGGTCAATGGCGCACATTTCAGTTGCCTCAAAATAGCAACGCGCCAGCAATGCATCTCAACACACCACGTTTTCAGACCAACACGCCCATGGGTGCACAAATGGGCGCAAATGCACCTGATATTTAAACAACGCGGCGCAGGACGTGAAAATGACAACTGCGTCGGGCTGAAACTAGCAAAAAACACTTGCGTCGCGCCTGGCGCCGCATTGCGCCGGGTCTATGATAGGGCCCTCAGTGTCAGAACGCCTCTGCTTTGGGGTATCACACATCATTTGAGTGTTAAGTTTTCTTTCACACCCTCTGACCTGTGAAATGACAAAAATATTCAGCATCAAGACTTTATTTTAAATTTTACATTCATATAAGCGAAATTGTATGTATTAGGTCCTGTAATTGGTTGCCAGTTTTACCACCGTTTTTATTTCCATTTTTTTGCCTTCACTAATTTCAGTTTTAAAGGTTTTTAATAACTCGCTTATACAATTCTGTATACTATACAATTATACAATTCTGATACTCCAACATTTGCAACTGAAACTGCACTGCACACTTGTAAAATACATTTGCTAGAATCGAATTCTTTGAACTGAGTCATAGATATCACACATAATTTGAGTGTTAAGTTTTCTTTCACACCCTTTGACCTGTGAAATGACAAAAATATCAGTAGATTGCATAGATCACCACTTATGTAGCATGTTCATTTCATGATTTCTTGTTGCTTTACTAAGAACGTGTCTGCCAAATGAAAACCTATTGTGTAGACCATTTCAAGAGCTTGCTTGCTGATGAGCAAAAGCCCTTTTAAATACAGCAGATGCATGTGGTTTGGCTGATTAGCAGTCACACCCTACAACTAGATGTTTTAACTACACCATTATGGTGACAAAAATACCTGTTTTTCAATGACAGCCTTTTAAAAGTAGCTGTGTACTATGACTAAGTACTTTTTTGCCAAGAAAATAAAATTAGAATGTTATAGTAAATTTGGTGAATGTTGGATGCTCTTAAAAGCTTGGTGCCATCAGAACGAGAGTCTAAAAGGCTGATTAAAAACATCACAATAATGCACAAGTAATCCACGACTTTAGTTCATCAATTAACCTCTTGTGAAGTGAAAAGCTGTGTGTTTGTAAGAAACCAGTTAATCATTAAGGTGTTTTAACTTTAAACTGTCACTTCTGGCCAAATAAGAGTTCATAATTCATTATAATGTTTCCCCCAGTGAAAAAAAGTCCATCCCCTGTTGTCCTCTCACATCAAAATCCACCGACATATTTGTTTAGAACTGTTCAGGACTGTTTAATGCTTGTTAACAATGTTTGATCTGTGCATTTTTCTGTCCTGATTCAGATGAGATAACTTTTTCACTGGAGAAAGCAATTTTATGGATATGGAATTTTGTGTGGATTACTTGTGGATTATTGTGATATTTTATCAGCTGTTTGGACTCTCATTCTGATGCCACCCTGAAGCCATGCAGTGGCTTTGTGTGAGGAGTTGGTTGAAAATGGAAAAAAAGGGTTGAAAACACATGTGTGAGTAAATTATGACAGGATAATTTTTATTTTTGGTGAACTGGTAATTTAAGACACTTAATTGATAGAGATTTGAAATCAGCACTGAATGGAGGATTTATAAAGTATAAAGTAAGTTATAAAGTATTTTATTGGTTTGTTTTACATTAGGTTTGAACAGCATGTGAGAAATAACATTGACCAACATAATTTTCTTTCTTTATTTCTAGATTTTCAAAAAAAATTATTCTTCTGTTAATTTTTCTTTCAATTTTGAAGCGCTGAACTGTGTATGGCCTTAGGGATCATTTGCAGCAGTTAAAGGGAAAGTTCAAGCAGTTAACTGTCTTCACATGAATCATCGTCATCTTGGTCTCCAGGTTCTGGAACCTGACTTCTGGTCACTGACAGCAGCTTGTCATTATAACAGTCTTTGTTAAACAGCTGCACTCTCCATTTATCCTTGAGGAATTCCTGTAATTGCTGAAGGGTCTTGCCATCAATAGTTTGACCTTTTTTTTAAAAACCTATTTCATCTTTATTTTCAGCCCAATGGCTGAATTTCTTGGAAACCAAGGAATTGCCTGTTTTAATGTATTCAAATTTGAGACCAAGGAATTTCTGTTTTACAAAATGCTGTTCACACATACTTGGGAATGTTCAGTTCCACTTTCAGTTTGTCTTTGCCAGGTACAGCACCTGTCAGCACATAGGCCGAGTCTTTTAAGAGCTGCTTTATAGATACATTTTCATTTTCTCTCAAAATTGATAATGTTTACATCATTATTTTCCTGTTTATCCTGTTTTTTCCCCCTGTGAAGCTGCTTTGAAAAATATGTTAAAGATCCTGAATGAAAGATCATTATTGAAAAATCATTAGTATGATGAACTTCAATCTGTGTGTTTACAGCATTATCTCATTTAGATACTGTATCATCAGTCAAGGAGAATGTATATTTTTTTCACAGATTAACTTTTTCTGCTTTTTGCAAGAATTATCAAACCACTATCCCAATTTCCCAGACTAGCACAGTTTTCTCCAGAAGGATCCTCTACTTTCCAGTAACCAGGTTCACTTGGCTCAGATTCCCTCATGTGCCAGAACCTTTAAAAGCAGAAACAGGCCGTTTAAGGGAAGTTAAAACACAAGCAATATTTTGATAACAGAAAACAGATTGAATTTCAGTATTTCATATTTCACAGATAAACAGGCAAGAAAATACAACAAATGCAATGTATCTATAATGCAACATACTGCAATACACAACTGATACACATAAATGGTCTCTGTATTTAACTGTGCAACAGAATTATTTTATTAAATACAAAGTTCTGTCATGAAACTCTAGATGGAGCGGACTGATAGGTACTTAATTCAATCTGCTATTAATCACATCATTATCTACATGGCA